GGGGTCAGCCCCACCTTGGCACAGATGCTGGCGGCGCTGACCACGGGGAACAGCGCGTCGGCCTTGGGGCGCACGGTGACCGCCAGCCCCGGGAAGCGCTGCCGCAGCTTCGCCTCGTACTTCTCTGCCGGCCCCACCGTGTCCACCAGCACCTGGGGGACCCCAAAATCACCCAGGAACCACCCCAAAATCACCCCGGAGCCCCAAAGCACCCCGGGACACTCCAAAATCACCCAGGAACCCCCCAAAATCACCCCGGAGCCCCAAAGCACCCCAGAGCCCCAAAACACCCCAGGACACCCCAAAATCACCTCGGAATCCCAAAATCACCCAGGAATCCCCCAAAATCACCCCAGAGCCCCAGATCATCCTGGGACACTCCCAGAATCACCCCAGAGCCCCAAATCATCCTGGGACACCCCGAGATCACCCCAGAGCCCCAAAGCACCCCGGGACACCCCAAAATCACCCAGGGATCCCCCAAAAATCATCCTGGGATCCCCCAAATCACCCCGGGATCACCCCAGATCACCCTGAGACCCCCAAAAATCATCCTGGGATCCCCCAAATCATCCCCAACCCCCCCCCCAAAATCCCACCTGGGCCACCCCCATGTCCCCAAAATCCCACCTGGGCCACCTGCACCCCCGAGTCGAGCGCGAACTGGATGAGCTCAGTGGCCGTGTCGTGGGACAGCTCGTTCAGGTTGTACTTGGCTCTGGGGGGGGCCGGGGGGGCCGTCACCCCAAAATTGGAAGCCCACCCCCCCCAGCACCCCCAAATTGGGGGGGTGGGAGATGGGGGGCGGCAGAAGCCAGGACGGGAGGGTCGGGGGGTGCTGAGAGGGGCTAAAAATGGGGGGAGCGGGGCTCCCCGAGAATCAGGGGACCCCGAGATTTTGGGGGGGGTTCCGGGGGTCTCACCGCTGCTGCATGCAGGCCGAGATGTGGTCGGGGGGCAGCACCTGCAGCGCCCACCCCACCCAATCCCCCGCGGCCTCCAGGAGCCCGAAACGCCGCTCCCGCTCCGCCTCTGACAGCGTCTTCGAGTCTGGGGGTACCGGGAGGGGTGAGGAGACCCCCGGGACCCCCCCGGGACCCCCAACCCACCCCCGGGACCCCCAACCCCCCGTTCCTGTGACAACCCCGTCCTTCCCCCTCATCCCCCCCGGACCCCCGGGGCTCCGTGCCCCTTGCTCGGGACCCTCCAAACCCTCCCGGGACCCACCCCGAGCCCCGGGACCCCCTCCCCGAGCCCCGGGACCCCCTCCCCGAGCCCCGGGACCCCCTCCCCGAGCCCCGGGACCCCCCACCTGCCACCCCCAGCGCCTCCAGTTGCTCCAGTTTGTCGACGGGGCAGTAGCAGATCGCGTAAACCATCGGCCCTGGGGGGACACCGGGGGTGAGAGAGGAGCCCGGGGCACCGGGACCCCCCCAAACTCAACCCCCGGGGCACGGGAACCCTTCCCACTCAACCCCCGGTGCACCGGGACCCTTCCCACTCAACACCCGGTGTACCGAGACCTTTCCCACTCAACCCCCGGTGCACCGGGACCCTTCCCACTCAACCCCCGGTGCACCGGGACCCTTCCCGCTCAACCCCCGGTGCACCGGGACCCTTCCTACTCAACCCCCGGTGCACCGGGACCCCCCCAAACTCAAGCCCCGGTGCACCGGGACCCTTCCACTCAACACCCGGTGCATTCGGGACCCTTCCCACTCAACACCCGGTGCACCGGGCCCCTCTCCGCGCCACGTGCAGCCGCTCCCCCGGCCCGGTTCCCCGCGGGATCCCCTCCGGGGCTCACCGAGCACCGGCCCCCGGCCCGCCTCGTCCACGCCGAGCGCGCAGGGGAGGCGGCGGCAGGGCTCGGGCACGGCGGAGGCGAAGCGGCCGCCGCCCGCCGGGTCCCGCTGCAGCGCGGAGAGCGCCATGGCGGGGCGGGGCCCAGGGGGCGGGGCCTCGCTGGGCGTGGCCTCTCGGGAGAGCCAATCACGGGGCGGGATCGGCTCGGTGGGGCGGGGCTTAGCGCAGGGGGCGGGGCTTGGCGGGGCGCTGGAGACTGGCGCCACGGCGAGGGGGCGGGGCTTAACGGCAGGGGCGGGGTTTAACGAAAAGGCGGGGGATTAACGGCAACGGCGGGGATTAACGGCAAGGGCCTGGGGTTTAAAGGGCCTGGGTGCCCCTTCGGGGGGTTCTAAAGGGGTCCCGCTGCCGGTGCAGCACCGAGAGAGATGCGGGGCGGAGTGTTCGGGGAAGGGCTGCGGAGCCCCCGATAGGGCGGGGGGAGTCCCCGGGATGGCACGGGGATCCCGGGAAGGTCCCGGGAAGGGTGGTGCCCCGGAAGCCTCGTGTTCCCCCCCCCACCCCACCCCGTCCGGGAAGCGCGGCCCCGGGGCGGGCGGTGGCGGGCAGAGCGGGAGGGGGTTCCCGGAACGGCCCCTCCCTCTCCCGCCTGCCCATATATGGGCATGGTGACGTCAACGGGGAAAGCCCCGGCCCCGCCCACTTCCGTTGACGCCGGTGCACGCGGGGGGCTTCCCACGGGAGGGGGAGGGGGGGACACGCACGGCCCCGCCGCCCCCGGTTCAGCACGACCGGAGCCGTTAGCGCAATTATCGTTATTATTAATTAAATACAAATGTACAAAAAAAAAAAAGCAGCGAAACAACGAATCGGCCCCCTCCCCCCCCCACACCGTACCCGGGATTTTGGGGGTCCCGGGGGGCTGCTCCCCACCGGGGGGGGCTCCTGTAAACGTCACGAAGGGGATCCGCCCCCCCAAAAAACCCCCCGGGGGGTCCCCCCCAACCCCCCCCCGCCGAAACCCCAAATGGGGGGGGGGTCCCCAGGCCCAGCTGGGGGGGGCTCCAGGCCCTGTTTGGGGGTCCCCATCCATCCCCCAGGCCCCGTTCCCGCAGGTCCTGAGGGGGGTCCGGGGGTCGGGTCCTGCCAGTCCCTTCGGGCCGCTCCGTTCCGGGGTGGCCCAGCCCGGGGGTCCCCCCTCCTCGGGGGTCCTTCCAGGGGTCCCCCGCTCCTCCAGATCCACCTTGGGGGGGTCTCTCGTGCGGAGCCCCATCGCTGAGCCCACGGGGGCCGTGTCCATGGGGGTCCCACGCAGCATCCCGGCCGGAGCGGGGGGGTCCCCGCCCCTCCGTGCCCAGCCGGGAACGGGGGACGCCCCCCGGCTGTCCGCGGGGCTCCACCGGGAGGAGGCAGCGCTGCCCCGGAGCCCCCTCGGTGCCGGTCCCTGCCCTCCGGGGCGGTTCTAGAAGCCGAGCGCGGCGCCGGGGGGCAGCGGGCAGCCCGAGCCCGCGTGGTCCCGCACGGAGCCGCGGAGCCGCCGCACCTGGGCCCGCAGCCGCGCCGCCGTGGCCGCCAGCTCCGCGTTCTGCGCCCGGAGCCCCCGGACGCGCTGCTCCAGCCGCGCGATGCGCTCCAGCTTCCGCCGCCGGCACCGGCTCGCCGCCAGCCGGTTCCGCAGCCGCCGCCGCTCCGCCTGCAGCCGCTCCGGGGAATCCGGGCCCGGCTCCGCCGCCTCCGCTCCGGGGACCCCCGGGAAGGGTCCCCCCATCCCCGCCGCCGTCGTCGTCAGCGCCGGCGGCTCCGGGAGTGCCACGTTGGGCGGCCCCGGTTGGTGCAGCTCATCCAGCGCTTGGGCGAAGCTCCCGGTGAAACCGTCGCGCTCGCCGGAACCGGGATAGAAGAAGCTGCCGGTACCGGCGCCGCTCCCGAAGAAGGTGCCATCGGGGCACGGCGCCGGTTTGAGCCCACGGAAGGGCTCCTGGGCGGGCGCCTGTTGCAGCGGTCCCGGTAAGGCGCCGTAGTCGGGCTCGGGGCGGCAGAAGCCGCCCGGGAAGGGCGCGGGGCGGTAGAACGGCGGCTCCATCCGCGCGGCCGCACCGGGAGCGGCGGGACTCGAACCCGTGGCCCCGCGCTGCCCGCGCCCTTTATAGCCGCGCGCGGCGGAAACGCGCCGCCATTGGCTGGAGGGGGTGGGCGGCGGACACGCCCCTCCCGCGTGGACACGCCCCCCGGGGAAAGGGGCGGGGCTTGGGGGCATTTGGGGGGCACAGGTGGGGAAAGGGGGGCACAGGTGTGCAAGGGGGGCACAGGTGTGTGCCGGGGGTCACCTGCCAGGCCACCCACGCGCGCGTCACCTCCGTGTCCCCCACGTGAGGCACCCCGGGGCCCTCCAAACGCACCCGAAAAAGCCCCTGGGACCACCAAAAGTCGCAGCCAGGGGCGGGGGCCGTGCCCGGGCGTGTCCCGGTGTATCCCGGTGTGTCCACAGTGTGTCCCAGTGTGTCCCCGGTGTGTCCCGGTGTATCCCGGTGTGTCCACAGTGTGTCCCAGTGTGTCCCCGGTGTGTCCCGGTGTATCCCGGTGTGTCCCCAGTGTGTCCTAGTGTGTCCCCGGTGTGTCCCGGTGTATCCCGCTGTGTCCCCGGTGTGTCCTGATGTATCCCGGTGTGTCCCGTTGTGTCCCGGTGTGTCCCCGGTGTATCCCGGTGTGTCCCCAGTGTGTCCCGGCGTGTCCCGGCGTGTCCCGGTGTGTCCCGGAGTGTCCCCGGTGTATCCCGGTGTGTCCCCAGTGTGTCCCGGTGTGTCCTGATGTGTCCCGGTGTATCCCGGTGTGTCCCGGTGTGTCCCGGCGTGTCTCCGGTGTGTCCCCGGTGTGTCCCGGTGTGTCCTGATGTGTCCCGGTGTATCCCGGTGCGTCCCGGTGTGTCCCGGCGTGTCCCCGGAGTGTCCCGGGGTATCCCGGTGTATCCCGGTGTGTCCCGGCGTGTCCCCGGTGTGTCCCGGTGTGTCCCGG